ATTTGTAACTACATGGACAATCTGTCAGAGATGAGAACAAACTGAGGTAAAATCACTGTTTTGAAATACAGTGGATTTGTTCTCTTTGCGAAAATCATTGGAGGGTTGTATTCAAGTTTTCATTTTTCAGATATTGGAAATGCTCAATATCAAATATTTACTATTCCACTTACAGCAGTTTCTCCTAGGCAGGCATTCATACAAAATAGGATTTATGGCTAGGTCTGCCAGCCTACCTTTGGGAGGATGGGTATTACTAGACTGCCTTGGATATCCAGTGACATAGAAAAAATGTCATCAGTAATGTATACAAGAGGGAGGTTATGTTTCCTAAGACTGAGGAAAGGAAGTCAAGCACATTTTCCCGGAAGCAGAGAGCTCCTGAGTAGACTTCTACTCCTGTGAGCAGCCCTCCCACCTAGTCCTAGGCTGTCCCAGGACATCTCCAGGCCTGGAAGGGCAAATAAAAGCTCAGACTATGCTGGGCTCATCCAGAAAAACCCAGAAGTGCTCCACCAACCTACAATCAAGAGAGCGTCAGGGAACATCTTAGGCTGAGCCACTCTCAACTAGCATAGCTAAAAAGACTCACTTCACCCACCATCAGCTCACAGCATGGAAGGAAAATACCACTCCCCTTTTTGGCACAGTCCAGAGCACCTTTTGCAACAACAGTCATTCTCAAAGTCTCCTTCATTATCACTGTAAATTCACATCAACTGCATATGTTATTTTGAAAGCATAGCTTGGTGTCTCAGCCTGTAATCCGGCGCCTTGGGAGGCTGAGGTGAGTGAATTGCCTGAGTCCACAGGTTCGAGACCCGCCTGGGCAACTTGGCGAGCCCTCATCTCTACAATAAATTTTTAAAAAACTTAGCCGGGTGTGGTAGCACGCGCCAGTAGTTCCAGCTACTTGGAAGGCTGAGGAGGAAGGATCGCTGGAGCCCAGCAGGTTGAGGCTGCGGTGGCCGGGAGCGGCCACTGTACTCCAGTCTGGGCGACAGAGTGAGACAAAAAAAAAAGGAATCCACAATAACATTTACTCTGAGCTCAGTAGCACTTCAGGGCTGGTCCTGCGCCAGGTGCCACCACAGGCCAGCCCTGCAAGACATTACATGGTTAGGGACAAAATTAGACATGGTCAAGAAATGGGCACCACGACTCAAGGGCAGGTGTCAGGGCCCCAGGCGGAGAGGCATGAGGTAATTATGGAAGGACAGTGCCCGCCCCAGGGGCTACTCTATTTCTCATCCCTAAGGAGCTCTTCACCAATCAGAAAAGGCAATTCTTTAACAACAACTCCCCACCCTCCTGGCCAGGAACCACTTGCGACTTCTCAGAAAACGTTTCTGGGCAGGTGGTAAGCAAAGCCAGAAAGAGAAATAACAACCCCAGGCAGAACAGGAGATACAGGAGCCCCGTGACCCTGATCCTTGGTACAAAGTCCATCCGCTCTGCAAGGTAGGACCATTTTGCTCTAGGCTGAGGACCTGGTTTGCTCTTTGTTATTGTGCCCTGCAGGCTGGCAAGAAGCTAAGCCTCTGATGTTTTGCCCACTGATACAGACCTGACTCTCTGGGAGATCATCTCAGCTATTATAGGTTCACAGTGAGGCCATTTGTGGCAGTGTCCCTGTCTTCAAGGATTCTACAAATGAAAGATATTGCAACAAGCAGGAATTGGAAAGTCAGAGACCTCCATGGGGCTTTGGGGCAATCCCTGCATCTCCAAATAAGTCACCTGAACTGATTTCAAAAAACTGTGCTTAGCAAAGGCATATTCATTCATTATTTTACTGGTTACTAAAAATGTCAGACTCATTTTTTTAAAAATGTGAAATCCAGGAACATCTAAAGGAGGCACTGAAAATCACCTGCAGTCCCAATACTCACTGCCCTTAACTTTTTGGTGTTTTTCTTTTCTGGGTTTTCCTCTTATGAATGAATGTATGGAAAGTCTCATATGAATATATACAGTCACATGCCACTTAGTGATGGAGATATGTTCTGAGAAATGCAGTGTTAGGCAATTTTATTGTTGTGTGAACATGAGAGCATGCACTTATGCAAACCTAGATGGTTTTGTCTACTACACACCTAGGCTATAATATGGTGTAGCTTATTGCTCTTAAGCTACAAATCTGTGCAGCATCTTGCTGTACTGAATACTGGGGGGCAATTGTAACACAATGGTATTTGTGTATTTAAGTATATCTAAATATAGAAAAGATACTGTAAAAATATGGTGTTAAAATCTCATGGGACCACTATCGCATATGTGGTCCATCATTGACCAAAATGTCATTATGCAGTACAAGACTGTACTTTTCATATGGGTATATACGAATGTTTGCATCCTATACAATAAATACTTGCTATGTTTTTTCATCTTATTTCCTTAAGATAAAGTCCCAGAAATAAAACAAATAGGTGAAAGGAATGGACACTGTTTACTGCCTCAACTTATAGCCCTACAGGGAGCAATTACATACACTCCTCTAGAAACCTGTGAAGATACTTATAAAGTAGGTCTTGTTCAATGAACGTTATTATCAGTAAGAATGGGGTGGTGATCCTGACCTTCACTGCCAGGAAGTTCTTCCTGATATCTGCGCTAATCCCTTCTGATGAATTAACTTCAAACCTGCTCCTTCTTGTCTTTTTGCCAGTGAATAAACACAGCACTTCCTACTGCACCTCTGATGGACTTCAATGAAGAAAAACTGTTTTAAAATCTCTTTCCGCCCTCTGGGGTGTCCTGATGTTGGCTAAATAGAACCTGAGTCACTGGCACTTGCTTAAGGCCCAAATGTGACCTCCAGGGCTTTTTTCTTGTACGCACTCTCCAGCCTCTCCATCCCAGACAGAAAGTCTGCTCCTTCCAACAGACATGTCTGATAAAGGCCCAAGATTACCTCACTCACCCACAAGCAACATGCTCCTATTTATACACTAGAGACTCAATGTGGTCCCTCACTGCAGTGCTGATTCATGGCTTACTGGCTAAATTGTATTTGGCCTTTACTGTAAATAAGCACAAAGAAGGAAGTATATATTGTCCATTTCTGAATCTTTTTAGGCTCTTCATCAAGAGAAAACTTTCCTTCTATAAATGGATCCCAGTTTGATCCTGGGTCTTTTCAAGAATATGAGTGTGGAAAAGAAAGGAGATTGATTTTAATGATGTGTAAATTTAAAATGAAATAATTATAGTTAATGTCTTGAAGTCCATATTTAGAAAATGGCCTTCGGCTTTTAATAGAATTTGCCCTTTCTGTGATAAAATAATACAAACACTCAGACACTCACTACATGCCAGTCATGCACTAAGAATTTTGCTTCTGCTTATTTTTTAAATTCTTCACAGTAACACTATAAAGTAGGTACTGAGTGCCCCATTTTTACGGAGGAGAAAACTAAGGAACCAAATGTACTAGTAGCATAACGAATGGATCTTAAGAACATTTGTTAACATGCTTAGTTATCAAAAAAAGGTAAGAAGCAACAAAAGAAATACATCACAATACCATTTGTAAATTTAAAGACCCTGAGTGTAATACAATACACATTTTAGAAGAATACAAACAGAACGTCAAACATGTTAAGAGTGGTTATCTACAGGGAAGAGAACAAGAGTGAAAATGAGAATAAAAGGAAACAAATAGATAACAAGAAAAGCCTTGCACATGGCAATGAGAACAGTGTGCTATGAACTGTACAGCGTAATACCTCTACCCTCTGAACTTAGCTCCAATTAAAAAAAAATGCCGCCAAGCTCAGTGGCTCAGCCTGTAATCCTGCACCTTTGGGAGGCTGAGGTGAGTGGATTGACTGAGCCCGCGGGTTCGAGACCCGCCTGGGATTGCCTGAGCCCGTGGGTTTGAGACCTGCCTGGGCAAATTGGCGAGACCTCATCTCTACAATAAATAAAAAATTAGCCGGGCGTGGTAGCGCGCACCTGTAGTTCCAGCGACTTGGAAAGCTGAGGTGGAAGGATTGCCGGAGCCCAGCAGGTCGAGCCTGTGGTGGCCGGGAGCTGCCACGGCACTCCAGTCTGGGTGGCAGAGTGAGACTCCGACTCAAAAAAAAAAAAAAAATGCCCTCAAAGTTTAGAGCAGGGAGATAGTCATAGATTGCTCTGGGTTATAGAGTCAGGGCCCTGGACTCGAACCCAGGTGTTTTGCACCTGCCCCCTATGTAGCATAGCTACATAACTAGTATGTGGGTCTTCAGTTCTTGGAAAGATATTAGACATATAGCTAAACCTTTTTAGGCTTCCACACTTTGCCTTTAGTAATTACATGGTTTATATCTGACCATGAGGGAAAAGTAGATTTGCTCCATTTCTTACATGCCAAGCCCCATGTGAGCTAAATAGTCAGTCATTTATCATTCATTCACCAATTTTTATTTAGTATGTATTATGTGCCAGGCAACGGGCCAGGCAGAGGACAAATGAAGACGAACGAGCCAGAACTCTGGCTTCCATGAGTCCCAGACACTGAGCCATTCTGTAACCACAGCTAGGCAGACTTTTCTCCCCCTGATGACCCCTTGCAGTGCAGGTGTAATAGCAAAGATGCACAGCTTAACCTGCATGTGAGTGTTTAAACCACCAACCAGCATCTCTTAAGATGGTTTAGTTTTCCATCAAGAAAGCTTACTTTAATAGAAACAACACTCATTTCCATAACTGGAGATTGGCTATTTTTGTAGTAAAGTTTTCAAAAAGAGCTGACCAAGAAAGAACAACACATGCAACAACAGCCCTGGTAATTGTGGTAAAATCTGTCTCATTGACTCATGTGGTAACTTCTCTTTTTGTGCCAGCAGGTGGATATTTCAAAGACACATCAAGAAGGAGGCCATTCTTTAAGGAAAGAATGAAAGGTCTAAATTGAGATTTCTATCATGGTGCTGAGGAAGTCACAAAAAACAACAATAACAACAACACAGGAGTTGCAGGCTTGGATTAGACTCCCTGGGAGTCACTTGACTTACCTCAATAGTTTTACAGGTGTCTTCTAACTGGCTAATCACACCCTGGACTCGATCATTGCTTCCCACAAGGACAGCGATGCCATCACTGAGCTCAGACTGAATAAGAGAAAAGAAAGATTCAGGATCTTAGGGGCTCCCTAGTCACCACCAACTGTGAATTAGTTGTAGTACTGTCTTTATGGGTTCTCGATTTAGGGCTCATGCAACCCCTAAGGAGTAACAGGGAGCCCTGAGAACCTCCTGATATTGCAGACAAACTTTTGTATATGAATGCATTTGTGTGGGAAGAGGCTTCGTAGCTTTCACCACATTCTTAATGAAGACTGGTAAAAACATTAGAACACTGAACTATAGGCCACTGAGAATCGCACGTTCAAGCTAAAGAATTCAATTATTGTTTATAAATGGGATGGAGCCCAATATGTGACTCAAGATTAATATAGTATATATTCATGTATTCAACATATGCCTTTTATGGGCCTACCATGTTAATAATGTATATATGCACATTCACACATGTAGACTATAAGTCATTACAGACTGGAACATGCAACTAGTTCTGGGGAGAAATGTCAACCCTGAAATTCCTTTGTTCTTGTGACCTGGGAAGAGATTCTACTGTTCATATCTACCCCTTCCCAAGGCTACTGTTTATATTTATCCCTTCCTAAGACTGGCTAGGAAGCCACAGAGAGTACTGGATGGGGATGCAGGAGTATTGTGCGTGACGCAATACTACCCCCAGCTTCTCTATGATGTTGAACAAAACATATAATCCGTTTGAACCCCAATTTTCTCACATTGAAAAGGAGAAGACTGGACCAGTGATTGCCAAACATTTTAAAGCTGCAGAATGTGTTCTGTAGTGTGAAGTTAACGTGGAATCCTGTAGGTAAAAGGAAGCCTGCTTTGGCCAAACAAGAGTGGGGGGTGGGAGTTTCACCAGAATGTCCTGCCCCTCTCCCATGAGTCTTCAGGACTCTGAGGGGAGGAGTGTGAAACAGTGGTCACCCATTCTTAACATGCTATGACTTGGGGGCAGGAGGGCAGAGGAAGGGGAAGGGGAACCCATCATAAGAAGATTGAAAAATGAATAAATGGTATAGATAATTTGCAAAATCCTACTTCTTTAGCAGTTAGTGGTCTCTGGGAATAACTGCTGTTGCCCAAGAGTTCAGCTTCCAAACTGGATTCTAGCTCTGATCTTCACAGCTAAATACTGACCAAATGTGGAAAGAAACTGAGAGGAGGAGCTGTTCAAATCACAGTGCCTGAAGTGGCTGCACCTACTGGAGCACCCAACCCCAGTTTTATTGGCACCCAGTGAATACATTCTGACCTGTCTGTGCATGAAACCAGGTTGGCAGATTGGCGAAGTGCTGATGGAGACACTATCTTTGGTCAGAATGAGAGGACTGTGACTGAGGCCCTGGGGTGAGGGGATGCACCATAACCAGAGGGAGCCTTTTAGCAACTGGCCTAGGTAACACCAGAGCTACCATAAAGCAACTTTTTTTTTTTTAGTTGCGGGTCTCACTCCATTGTCCAGGCTGGAGTGAAATGGCACAATCACATTCATTGCAGCCTCGACCTCCTGGGCTGATTCGATTCTTCTGCCCCAAGTAGCTCCAATCATGTGCCACCATGCCCAGCTAATTTTTAAAGTATTTTTTGTAGAGATGAAGTCTCACTATGTTACTCAGGCTGGTCTCGAAATCCTGGGCTCAAGCAACCCTTCCGCTTTGGCCTCCCAAAGTCCTGAGATTACAGGTGTGAACCACCATGCCAGATCTAAGGCAATGTTTTAAAGTTGATTGGTAACTACAAGTCATTATAGTAACTCTCCTTCACCAGGAATGGAGGAGAAAGGGCCTTGAAGAGGGAAAAAGAAATCTTTCATTGGAAAATGAAAGTATTCTGTAACTGGATCTAGACTTCAAATAATCTTGAGCAGTTTGAGTTTGGGCTGGGTCACTTAATACTAACTCATCTTCAGCAACCTCCAAAGGGTGCAAAAAGCGACCAGGTCCTTCACCACCCCCTTCTGAACCTCTGCACCCCATCCTGTCTGACTTTTACTCCCATCCTCTGGGGAGTCTAGCATGTGACCAAGTGCACACCAACTGTGCATTACCCCTTCTAAAAGGACTCTCCCCGCATGCCCTCCAGTGTCCTGTGGCCCTGCATGGCTCCCTCCTTCCGGGGCAGAGCGCAGAGGGGTGCAAGGGGATCTGTTACCTTCTGCCTCTGGAACACGTGAGTGAGGGGAGCCACCTGGCAGTCCTTGTGTGCACCAAACACCTTGCAGAGGGAGCAGGTGGGCACTTCGCAGTTCAGACAGTAGATGTTGATGCGCTCCTCTTCGTGCTCCTCACACATAGGCTGATCTGACTTCTTTTCTGGCCTGGGAGGAGGTAGGCAGATAAATGTCCATCGACTCCTCTGGGGGCAGAGCAGAGACTTACAAACTCCCACTCATCCCTGTGCCCCCGGTTACACCATTTCCGAAGACTCCAAGGAGACTCTTCATGTGTTCAGAGCCCACCAAATTCAGCTTTCCTACAAGTTCAGCAGAGGGATACTGACAAATATCTAACAACTTGCTTGGGATGAGGAGGGGAAATGGAGTCCCTGATTTTTAGCATTTGCCAGTTTCCTTGGTGTATTTCCATCATGGCCAATTTCAAGTTATTTAAGCCTTAGGAACTAGCTAGTGAAATCCTGAAAGTCAACTACTGGGCCTCGGCAAAATGTCAGGAGCATGCTCCAGCACTGTGTCCACAAACTCACAAGTTTCTCGAGACACTTTCCCATTACGGGCAAAGAAGGGGAAGTCTCCAATAAACTAAATCTCAAGTTTGCACAGCTTTGAGGAGGAACTGGATCCCACTTCTCTAGGCTCTGGTCTCAGCAAACACCTTTTCCACCTAAAGGAGTGAGGTTAAGTGCTCCTAGGGGGAGCTGACATCGTCTGATTATTAATCCAGATGCCAGAGCAGCTGTGTATGTAAGAGGAGGCGTGGGTGTAGCCTCCTTATATAAAACCCAGTAATTTTGGTATATCCTGTCTAAAGACTGAGGCTGTTAAATTTTTCAAAAGTATTTGGAAAATTCAAGTCCTAAAGCCTTCCTCATATTTCTAAACATATAGTCAATTAGAAACATCTTAGATTTGAAACTGCATTTTTTAGTTGCTATACAGATCCATTTTTTTTAAAGTACAGGTTTTTATGGGCCATGAAATCAAGTTAGGGAGTTGTGACCAGCATTGATAAAATCAAAATGCAGTAGAATCAACCAAACAAAACAGTAAATGCTGTGAATTACATGTAGTAAGGGCAAGTATTGACAACTGAAACTTTTGTTTCAGGGATACATGTATACATACCCGAGACAGAAGTTATATATGTGTGTGTGTGTGTGTGTGTGTGTGTGTGTGTGTGTGTGTGTGTGTGTGTGTGTTTGTGTGTATAAATATATATATATCCATCCAGACATGCAAATAGTACTGGATCACAATGTAAAATGTACTTCCTAGTGTGAATCATGAATATCCTTGATACTGACACGTGGAATCCTGTAGCTGCAGCACCAGAACTTAGAGAAAGGCAGAGAATGTGCTAATGTACCGCTACAAGTCACTAGGCAGAACTCAAGCACTTGAGATTGGGCTAAACGCTGAGAGAAGTCTTGGGTCTGGTAAGAAAATTGCAGGGTTTCAAATTTTTGAAATCTGCCTTTTGCAAAAAGAATTTGTCTGGTCTTGCAGCAGTGTGCCTCTCATGAAGTCTGTGACCTCCTGACTTGACCATACGCTTGGAACACAAATAAAGTCAACTCTATAACTGAGAAAATTACCCCCTCCCCCCCAGTCTGTCTGTTTCCTCCACTAGAATGTGAGCTCCATGAGAGCAGGGGTGATGGTGTGTCTTCCTTTTCTTGCTGGATCCCCAGTATCCAGAACAATGCCTCCAATAGAGGTGAGTGGTTCAGTAAATACCTGTTAAACAAACAAGTGAGGTGATAAAAGGGAATGTTCCCTAAAAATGGACAGTGTTCCCTATGCTTTATATAATGCCACCTAACTGGAGAACTGGCAAGTATTGGGAAAGCTTGGGGTCACTCATGAGTGACAAGGGAAAAGACCAGACAACATCCTGTATACCCCATTAATAAATGATAATGCTCTCTGGGGGTTATATAGAGATCGCGACTGGCGAATTGTCTGCCTGATCAAAAGCTTCTCTACCTTGAAATCTTGTCTCCTAGGTATCTCTTCCTCATGAGGAACATGGGTTGGGCAGGAGTTCAGAGCACATCTACTGGAAAATGGCATGGGCTATGTTACTGCACCTCATCTTCTCGAGTCATTTCCTGAGGGTAGCCTGGGTCCTATGTGCTGTTCTGATGTCAACAGCTATGACCAGAAACAGTATTATAAAACACAAGTCTATGTAGTCCATGCACATATTGAAACTATGTAGTCCATGCTCATATGTAGTCCATGCACATATTGTGGAAACAGCAATATGGATCTATGTTTAGCTTTGTTTGTGATTCAATTTCTTTATTTTTCATGGGGCAATATACACTGTTTTCCATACTCCCTATTGGACTTTTCTAATTTAGATTCTAACCCAGGCCCAGAGGCACCATCTACTTATAAGTGAGTGTATAATAAAAACTCATCTTAAAACATAAAACAGACTTGGGACAAATACGGCATGTCAAAGAAAGATGTAAATAACATGTTTATGAGATGAGAGTAGCCAAGCTCACAGTTGAGGTCAGGGCTCAGTGCCAAATGTTGGCTGTGGCCCCTAGCCATTCAGCGCTTGCTGGACTGAGGAGACTAGTCTACTCTCCCTGGTCTCTGAGGTTTCTGGGACCACCCTAGAGTTTGCAGAGGAGTGGCCACTGGTCTTTGTGTACCTGCGTAGTCAAACTAATCTTAAAGTTTCATCCCAGTTCAGCTTCTCCATGTGGTGGTTATAGGCAAGTTATTTAACCTTCTTCAGTCTCAGTTTTTACTTGTGTTTTAAAACTGGATGAAGGGTTTTAGTGAGAATGGACACAGGCATTTATTTATTTGTTTATTTATGTTTCCTGCTGAAATCTCAGTAAAACGAGAGCAAGGAAATAAAAGGGTATCCATCAGTAAGGACAAAAAGTGAGCAAAATGACAGAGATGAAAGATGTCAGCTAAATGTTGGAAATTAGGGACATCTGGATAAAAGGAAGTGACCTACTTGCATTGCATTTTAGCTCTGCTGAGTGCCTGCAGGAAAGAAACCTACAAGAAGCAAGCTGACTGGAGCTGCAAGGGAGAAACCTACAAGAAGCAAGCTGAGTGGAACTATGGAGTCCTGGAAAGGTTCTGGAACTGCAGGATCCAGGTATCCTGGAGGCGGAAGTGTGTGTATGTGGGGGGGAGGAGGGCAGGCAGGCAGAAAAAAGGACTTTGTATACATTTTGGAAGATTACTAGAGGATGTGCTCCATAAAAACAAGAAAGTAAACCTACAAGGAGAGAGACTTGGGATCCAGGAAGCAAGGGGTTCAACCCAGGGGCGAGTAAGGGAATTTCCAAATAGAGTTTAGGTAAAGCCCAGCCATGCCAGAACTCAATCCCAATCCTTTACAGTGGAAGCCAATATATCCAAAACTGAACAATCAGCCTGACACGGTGGCTCATGCCTATAATCTCAGCACTTTGGTAGAGGTGGGAGGGTTGTTTGAGCCCAGGAGTTCAAGACCAGCCTAGGCAGCTTTACTCTACAAAAAAATTTTAAAATCAGTCTGGTGTGATGGTGTACACCTGAAGTGCTAGCTACTCAGGTGGCTGAAGTGGAAGGATTGTTTGAGCCCAGGAGCTGGAGACGTGGTAAGCTATGACTGTGCCACTGCACTTGTCTGAGGGACAGATGAGACCCTGGCTCAAAATAAGTACGTAAATAAAATGGAAAAATCAAGGAATAGGATCATCGCAATAGTGTATACATGTCATTGGTGAGCAGTAGCAGAAAACAGCTAAAAAAAAATGAAAAGTAATTGACTCTAAGGAGTGAGCCTTAGGGGTGAAGAGAAAGTAGGGTGGGGACTACCACACCCTTCATCAGAGGCCTTGTAATACTGAATTTTTAAAATTATGTATGTTAGTTACTTTAAAACATTAAAAGCCTATAATAGGGCATTAGTGATACTAATAACAATCACTCCTTCACAATATTGTTGTGAGAATTAAAGAAGTGCACATGATTCATGCGTAAAGCACCCTGAATAGTACCTGGTATATAGCACACCGTAGTTTTGCTTATTATATTTTAAAGTTAATTATTTCTCTTATTAGTCAAAATGGTGCCTTCTCTTGCCATTCCCCATCCTCCCACTGTGGCTAGTTCAGCACCATGCTGAATTCTAGATAAGAAGGCCAGGTTTTGTGGAGACCTACAGTCTCCAGCCTTTCTGCAGGAGGTCAGAATTGACCAGCACCTCACTGTCAGTTACTGACACCCCTTCCCCTTTTCATCACCATCTCCAATGACCAGAGCTGGCCTCCTCTCACTCTGCATATTCAAGGTCATATTGGGGTCGTTTAATGTACCCTGAGGCTCAGGGTTCTGGTCTGGTAAAGCTGTCAGTCTCCAGGGAACAACTGGATTTATGCCCAGACATGTGGCTGAGTGCTCTGGACAACTTACGGATTTGCCACCAAGTAAAAAATGTCTCAAAGGCAAATCTCAAGTTCAAGAAACAACAACATAAGAAGAAATTAAAAATCACATAAACACCCCTAGTCCACTCAGCCGTGAGCTTTACTGTTGGAAATTTGGTTCTTTGCTTTTATGCAATTTGCTTCCCAGCCCCTGGGTGCTATTTTTGGCAGCTGCACCGAGCAGACTTCATAGCGAAGGTAAAGATGTGCCTTGTAGCTGTACTAATACTGTAAGTTTTAACATCACTCTTCTCTAGATTTCATATTGCTATTTTTTCACTTTTCAAGTTCCCACGGTGGCAAGTAGCAAGACAGAAAATTATTGCAATAAACAGAACATGTAAGAATATTTGCAATTGTGCTTAATCAGTTGGCACTTGCAGAGGGACTCTTTTGTGCAAGCCACTGTACTAACACTGGAACAGTTGTTATATAAACTCCTTTAATAATTGGTTGGTTATCCATTGGCTGGGGATGGCTTTTAAGAGACAGTGTGTGTGTGTTTGTATCTTAAAGTCATGAAACACAATGAGATTCGATCTGGAAAGTAAAGCAATACCAACAGTACTTTTCTTCTTGTCAAGAGACTTTGGAAGCCAAGAGGAACAGCCGGCTGCAATCTCTGCAATGTGTCGTCAGCAATTCTTCTTCTTCCCCAAACCCATCTATATCCTGGTACTATCTAATTTAGTTTTGGATTTTAAGCAGAAACTAATAGCCATAATAATTACAATAATTATGTTAGATTTATAGAACAGCTTTCCTTCCAAGAGCGAAAGCCTCTTAGAGCCCTGCAGATGTTCCATAAATATATGTCCCCTAATAGAATCACAATGAGGCCATTTCTAGATGGCCTCAATATTGCTATCAAGCTCTGTGGACTGGACTGACCTGTGTACAATTGAAAAAGGGATCTTCACACCGTGCCTTCTAGGAATAAGCTCCCGCAGTGTTGTCTCTAGGAAAGGAATTCTATAGCCAATGTGGTTCGACAAATAAAAAGCCTATGCACTTATTTATTTAAATCAACTTCTTCTCCGACTAATGTGAGAATAAGTTTTATTTTCCTCCTCTTCCTCCTCCTTCTTCTTTCTCTTCCTCTTCTCTTCCTCCTCCTTTTTCTCCTCCTCTTCTTCGAACCCCTGGCCTTAAGTGATCCTTCTACCTTGGCCACCCAAAGTGTTGGGATTACAGTCATGAGTCACCATGCCTGAATCTTTTTATTTTTTATATAGTGCATATCAATAAGTTAACAAGTGAATGCTAAGAGTGTGCAGAAGATACTGCCTAAGGAATAGGGACACATAATTTGAACACCATCTTTTTTCTCTCTCATGTCGCTGAACTTCAAGCCCCTAATGGCCAGGACTATGTCTTGTTTCACAACTTCTCATCGAGTCAATATGGTGACAAACTGTCAGAGGATTTTGTTGTTACTATGACCTAGGAGATTTTAAGGCAAGACTGTTTAAGCTAGGAACTGGGCTATTTTGGAAGATGCCATTTCTGTTAATCATCTATTAATTTTTGTACAGTACTTGAATTTTCCTGCCTTATAGGATCTAGAGCTACAAACATCCTATGAAGTGCAAAAATGTCTAGTGTTTGAAATACTTTAAGGTGGTGGGGGACAGCATTATGCCTCTTTCAACATTACCATCTGGGATAGATTAGTGTTAATGAGTCACTTCATTCTTAAATTGATACAAAATCATGGGCATCAGCTTCCTTCTCTTCTCCCATGAGTAACTCAGTCCCATAGGGAAGTACTGACTTGGAAAAACATTTTCCTATAAAACAATTAGTCTGTGATTGGTAAATAAGCATTCAGTGTAGCAGCCCAATAAAACCAACCAACCAACAGACAAAAACAAGCTTCAGATGGGTTTGACACATGGAAAACGTTACCTCGTGGACTCCTGCTTGTAGATGTCAATGATATTTTCCACCAGCAAGTTCCTCTGAAGTCCATATACCCCATGTCTGTCCAAAACCACTTCGTGCCTACAGGATGGGCAGCGGAATCGGCCCCCCGAAGCCACCGTGGTGCCTCCTCTTGTGGGCAAATACGGATTAGAGGCCTGTTCTTGCCAAGCAAGAAAAAAAGGAATTAAGTAATGCCACAGGTAGCTTCTCAGAGACTTCTTTCACTCTCTGTTAATATAAACAGCATGAACTTCTACTTTGTGCTTGCTATGAGATAATTCCTCAGAAAGGCCTTCTCAGAAAGTGGTCCTGAAATGCAGGACCAGCCCTTATCCACAGTCATCTGCAAAGAATCATTGTCAGTATAAGGTGCTTTTCTGTCTAGAGTTTTTGTAACCAAAGGTTTCAGCCAGAAACTCCACACTAATGTCTAAGGCACTAATTCATTTAGAACTTTGAAACAGATTCAGTGGGTTTTTTTTTTGTTTATTTGTTTATAATTCTCACTCTTATTGCCCAGACTGGAGTGCAGCGGCATGCTCACAGCCACCACAGCCTCGATCTGCTGGTCTTAGGCGATCCTTCTGCCTCAGCCTTCCAAGTAAATGGAACTACAGATGCACACCACCATGCCCGGCTAGATTTTTTGCAATTTATTGTAGAGACGAGGTCTCACCAAGTTGCCCAGGCTGATGTCAAACCCTCGGGCTCAGGCAATCCTCTTACCTCGGCCTCCCAAAGTGCTGGGATTACAGGCTGAGCCACTGTGCCAGGCTGGTTTGGTTTGTTTTTTAATATGATTTTTAGTATTAAAATAAAACTAGATTTGAGAGTACAGAGAAAGTTGATAAACACAAAGCAAATCATTAAAAGAAATTTGTTTTTCTTTCAAATAAATGTGACCTTATGAAGTTTTCCAAAGGATTTCACCTCAGTGTCAATTAAGCACTTGATTTCTAGAGGAGGAAATCTTTTCCACCCCCTAAATTCCAAACAAACTTACCTGGAAAATGTCACTGGCACATTTCCTACACAAGTTATGCTGGCAAGGGAGAATGACCACGGGTTTCGTGAACATCTCTAAGCATATGGGACAGATGAGTTGCTTCTCCAAGTTATCCATTGTCTGCTGCTCTTTGGAAAAAGACTTGTAATTCAGAGATGCGCTCATCTCCCCTCCGTGCCCGAGTACGCTGCCGGGGAAAAGGTGCTCCAAATGGCTTCTCTAAGTGTTTCCTGGAAATAATTCCAAGGATTGTGTGATCAAGTGTCCTTTAAGTTTCTCTCAGTGGAGGACATTGTTTCATTCCCGGGTTCAGAGTGGGTGCCGGAGCTGTTTTTAGTAACCTGTGGTCACGTGACAGCAGGCTGACTTGTCCATATAAGCCAGTGACAGGAGGATGGATCCTGACAGGTGACAGAGAGCAGGAGTCAACATTCTTGCCCCCAGGAGTGAGGAGAGTGGGCGGGAAGGAGGATTACAAACCCCATTTAGACGAGGGTTGTGGGGAGAAGGAGGTCGAAGCTGACAGTTGTCAACAACAAATGCAAATGTGCATGCCCAGTAGCTGAGCCATGCCCTCTGTGAGCACTCACAACTTGGTGACAGGCTTCTCCAGGAAGGGACAGAATGCAGCCCAGGAGTCTTAACTGTATACCAGTTGCCATTTCTCGCTTAAGAGTTTAGGAATCATCACAAATAACATGGTAACACCTAACTAGGTGAAAACAAAACCCATCTTGAAAATCGTTGTCCTGGCTTTACAAGGGTCATCATCAAAAAAAGACTTTCTTAAGTAGGTATTTTATTATTGCCAGGACTGTGGCTGGGAAAAATTTCAATTTAAAAGCTGGACTCAAATCCTTTTACTATAAAAGTGTACACACACACACACACACACACACACACACACACACACACACACACAATAATAATAATAAAAAAGAAAGAAAATGAAAAACCAGTTGATGACCCAATTGTTTAAGGAAAAAGTTATATAATAAACCCTGATATTGCCTCTTCCACATTACTTTCTTTCTTCCTTACCCTCTTTCACCTTATATGTCTCCCACCCCTACACATGCCCAAAAACAGAAAAGAAAAAAATGGAAAGTATTTAAAATTTTTTTATCAGATAAAAAATGAAAACAGAATCCATGTCTGAATATATGTGACAAATTTGCAACTTTATTTCTCCTTGATTTTAAAAACCTTGAACAATAAACACATTTTGTTAACGTATTTCTGATGTGAGCTTAATTATCAGTAAAGGGTAGGTCAGTGTGACTGGTTATGTGTGGTCTTAGTGCTGTGTGTACAGAGAACTTATTAAGAATCTAATAAGCTCTATTAACTAATAATAAGTTATATGTATTCATCAACATTTCAGGGACCTTTGGAGAATTCTCTTATTTCTTTCAATATTTATTTGCAATTACAGTGAGGAAGGGAATTGGTGAAATTTTTTTACCGAATTACTTCAGTTGACCTAGCTTGGCAGCTCATGTGTTTATCACTACATGGGCTATGAAGGGGAGGTCAGAGCATAATATGTGCGATATTCTCAAAGAAATATTGTTTCTATTGTACAATAAAAGTAAAAGACTTTGCACTCTAAGGAAAACACTTAAACTAATAATTTACATTGGGGCAGAGCCTGTTCTTATAGAAGGAATTTATTCTTTAAAAAAAAAAAGTCCTTGAGAATTACTGTATGTCTCTATAGTACAAAGCTTTGTTTTTTGTTGTTGTTGTTATTGTTGCTATTTTTTAGTTTTCAGTTAGTTTGTTTTTTAGTTGGAGTCTCACTCTTGTCACCCAGGCTGGAGTGCAGTGGCACGCTCATAGCCACCCTAGTGTCGACCTGCTAGGCTCTGGCGATCCTTCTGCCTCAGCCTTCCAAGTAGCTGGAACTATAGGATCGTGCTACCATGCCCGGCTAATTTTTTATTTATTGTAGAGACAAAGCCTCGCCAAGTTGCCTGGGCTGGTCTCGAACCCGCAGCCTCAGGCAATCCACTTGCCTTGGCCTCCCAAAGTGCTGGGATTACATGCTGAGCCACTGAGCCCGGCCAGCTCTGGGGTTTTAAAGATGAACAAGACACAGGTCATTGACTTCAAGGGGCTCAATCTAATGGTGGAGACAAGACATGAAAATACAGAACCACTGTATAAAAGAAATGTTATAAAGAACTACAGAATTTCAGAGTGGGAGGTACCAGGAGGCTTCATGGGTGGAGGTAGCCTTAGAACTGATGCTGGAAGAACTTAGATGGATGGACATGCAGTTGGGGGTGAGGAGTCATAGTTGGGGTTTCCAAACGAAGGCACAGATGCAGAGGCATGGGTGTGCAGGGACTCTCAGAGCAATGATGGCTTGAGTTGGAGTGCAGACACACACACTGCTGACACACTGGCAGGCCATGGATACTGTGCTAAAGAGTTTCTAACACTTAATAAATTAGGAATCAGGAAGTCGTTAAAGTTTCTCACTGGGACGTTTCCCATGAGACCAGTGCTTTGGTTAGATTGATTTCGCAGTGGTGATTGGGACAGACTTAGCATGCTAGTGACCTGGCTAAAGACTAGATAGGAGGCTGTTGCCAATAGTTCAGGTGAGAGGTCACAAAATACTGGCGCAGGCTGTGGCAGTGGGGAAGGAAAAGAGGGAATGAATTCTGATGCTGTTATGAAAGTAGAATCCATAGAGATGACTCAGATGCCGGAGCCTGAGTGACCAAGACTGTGCCATGAGAGGCTGTGAGTCAGAAACAGACTTCATTCTAACTTCTGTATCTACCTAGCTCTGTGGTCTTGGGAAAGTGACTTCACCTAGCAGGATTTCAGTTCTTTCATTTATTAGTGAGTGAGGTTCATAACCTAACTTAGCCATATTTGTAGGGGGAAAAAAATCTCTAAAACAGTTTTAATTTTAAAATAGAAAATTCTCAGTTTGGTTATTTGATGTACACTTGATCTCTCTCTCTCTCTCTCTCTCTCCTCTCCTCTCTGTTCCTTCTTGCTCTTTCACTTTTTCTTAGAACTCTCCCTGGAGGCTACACAGAAACTGGCAAGAATCCCACAAAAATGAGAGCCCAGTTGATGAATACCATTCCATGCCCGTCTTCATCCTCTTTTCTCCATTCCTTGCACCTCATTGATCTGAGACCAGCAGTGTATAGGGTGGATGTGTGAGTTGGGAATAGGACATGGAAGGAACCAGAAAATTTTAGTCCACTCCCAAATCATCCAGAGCCCAGAAGACAGGGAAAACTGTGGAACTGAGTAAGAATTAAGTCATCTTCAAGGCTCTGGGATTTGGAGTGGACCTGAGTCTCTATGGGGGAAAGAAAACTAGCTGTTAAAAGAAACACTTAGACAAATTAAATTGAACAGAGTTTAATTGGGCATAGAAGGATTCATGAATTGGACAGAACCAGAATAGGTTCAGAGTAACCCTAGGGCTGCCACTTGGTTGGATTACATTTATGGACAGAAAAATGAAAGTGATATACAGAAAATGGAAATGAGGTACAGAAACAGCTGGATTGGTTACAGCTGAGCATTTGCTTTATTTGAACCTGGTTTGAATAGTTGGCAGCCAGTGACTGGCTGAAACTTGGCCACTTGTTACAAGAATAGGTAACAATCTGTTTAAACATCCTGTAAGGTGACAGTTCACTACCTGCATAAAAAACATTAGGCCAGCCGAGCACTGTGGCTCAAGCCTGTAATCCCAGCACTTTGGGAGGCCGAGGTGAGAGGATTGCCTGAGCTCAGGGGTTTGAGGCCAGACTGGGTAACATGGTGAGACCTCGTCTCTACAATAAATCAAAAAAATAAGCCAGGCATGGTAGTGCACACCTGTAGTTCCAGTTACTTGTAAGATTGAGGCAGAAGGATAGCCTGAGCCCAGCAGGTCGAGGCTGCGGTGGCCATGAGCGTGCCGCTGTACTCCATCCAGGGCGACAGAGTGAGATTCCAACTCAAAAAAACAAAAACAAAAATAAAAACATTAGACCAGACTTAAAATGTGTGTGGATGCAGCTTTAATTAACTTAACTTAGTCTCCTGAAGGCATCCTGGATTATACAGAAGGGATGCTCTTTTTCCTCCCCTTCTCCCTCCTCCCCCGCAATCTCACTGCACACAATAGGGCAGGGCTTGAAACCGTTGGAAGCCCTAATTTCCCTCATTTCTGAGTCCCACCAGCCCAGAGCAAGAGTATGCTTAGACACATTGAGAAACTGAAGCAAAATCACCACCATTCTCTCCTCCTCCAATAGTTTCCCAATCTCCCAGATACATCTGGGGAAAGGAGATAGGTCCCTGAGAACCTGAGTATGCACCCAACAGTGGAATTGGCACTAAGGGGTGACAACAGAAAAACAAGGCTTTTGACCTCTTCCAACCTCTAGCTGCCAGGCCAGAAGGAAACAGGCTCCAGGGTCCAAGGCACTGGAATGAAATGTAGACGTGTAATACAATTCTGACACTATCTACCTGAAGCTAGGCCAAACTTCACAAGTGAAGGGCCCAGTGCTCCACGGGACTGCCCTCCCTTCAGATACCAGCAGCCACCTCAGAGGTTCCTGGGTCCCTCACACTTCTGACTAATTGGCTACAAATGTGGGGGTTTCCACCACCCCCTCAGTTTGATAATTGGCTAGAATGACACATAAAACTCAGGAAAGCATTATTTATGATCATAGTTTCATTAGAACAAAAAATGAATACAAATTAGGACCAGCCAAAAGAAGAAATGTATAGGATGCATAAGGCAAAGTTGTGGGGGGTGAGAGTGAACTTCCAAATGTGAACTTCCATGTCCTCTCTCAGTGGAATTAGAAACACTTACATGTGATAGAGATCATCCATGTGTAACAACACACACAGAGCACTGTTAACCAGGGAAGTTTGCCTGAGATTCTCTGTGTCCAGGGTTTTTATCAAGGTTTCATATGTAGGCATGATTGGCTCAATCATTAGCCATGTGATTAAACTCAATCTTCAGTCCGCCTTGCCTCCCTAGAGGTCAGGCTGATATCATGTGGCTCAGAGCCCCAACATTTACATCACATGGTTGGTCTTTCTGGCATGACCTGTCCTTATTATTTCATTAGCATACACTATTAGGACCCCTGATGGATAACAAAAACACGAGTATCACTCAGGGAATCCTAAGGTTTAGAGGTTCTCTCCCACGAATTTAGGACAAAGGCTAGCCACATTTTTATACCCAATACGACCTCAGTGCATTTTTCATCTCAGAAGAGAGAAAAAGGGACGCTAACATTACTTTTACTACTCTACCACTGCGATAAATGTAACAAATATGTGCTGAGTACAAATCACCTCATATAATAGCTCCCTATATTAAGTATTATTATCTCCACTGAGCCAACTCTTGCTGAGCAGTTAAGTAGTCGCCCAAAGTCACGTGGCTGTTAAATTGTGACACAGACTCAAAGACATATCTTTTGAATACAGAGCATAGGACCTCACCCACTAGCAGCACCATACCCATACTCTAGAAAAGCACTGTC